CCAGTGGACCAGACTGTGAGGAAGAGTCCAGGTGAGCCTTGTGAAGAGGATCGAACTGACATATTACAGCCCCCTCAGGTAAATGTTATGTTTATACATAAAAGTTCTTATAATGGTGCAACCAGTTCCAGTCGAAGTTCGTCTTCTGAATTGGCAAACATTTCTCTTTATCGTGGATGGTTCGCGCCCAGGGCTGTACCCAGGATTTTTTAAATACTGAGGTGAACAGTGTTAGCACTACCTATAGTTGTGCCCTGTAATGGGCAGGTAGTTATTGCAGTTGTATTATAAATACTGAGGACTTGACCTCGGTGACCCCAGTGGTAGGTAGGGGCTTGTTCGCGCTGGACACTGCGCTCTGCAGTGCCAGCACAGAATCGCCCACATGTATGCATGGATTGGTGTCCACATGTAACTGCCATTTAATGTCACGGAGATTTAGCCAATATCTCAGTAAAAGCCAGTTTGCTCAGATTTTGCTAGAATAAACATGAGCCTCACAGGAGCAGGGAAACTACGCTGTTAATAATGTATCTTCTGGTTTGTTTATTGTTGTTTTGTTTTTTATTGACATTGATCTTGGACTGGATTTCGTTTTGAATATTCAAGCTCTTAGACCTGTGTCTTAATAACGCACTAATGCTGGCTGCTGTTTTCAACTCGCTGTCTCCTCGTCACAGATCTGAAAATCAATAAATATCACTGAAGACAAACAGTTTAATTTTACGGTATGGTTATATCAATACCTGAACCCTTAATGAAGTTTAGCTATAGAAGTGCTCTTAATGTCTCATCTGTAGGCCTGTCTGAAATTCATGGTGTAAATCAGTGGTGTAGAAATTTTAGGGCTTTCCAGAATTTCACGAATATACACTAGAACTAATATTTTTAAAAATCTGTCTTTGTGGTTCCATCTGCATGAGTGGCTCGGTACAAGACAGGTGTTGTTGGTTTTGTACAAACATCAGAAGAAATTGAAATAATAGTGTCACTTTGCAGGGGGATAGATGACCCAAATACAGGCTCTTGGTAAAGTAGCCCTTCGCATGGGGTGTTTATTGCGGGGTAAACAGGCAGCATAGCAAGGCGGACAGAGAACAATAGCTGAACGGGGGCACAGGGCTAGGAAACACTTTTATACAAGAATAAGAGGGGAGTGAAGACAAGGCAGCGGGGGCTGTTTAACAAGAGGGCAGGAACAAGAGGTAAGACTAACGAGCTTCAGGTGCAGCTGACTATTAGCCACGGCCAATGGAAACGCTGGGAGCAGAGGAGCAGGGCGGGGATGGACGCGACAAGTAGGCTTATATTTCACCATGACTCATGGATAAACACATGAACAAGACCTTATAGCCATGATTATTGTGTCATTTTATAAAATAAGGTGTCATAAAATTTTGCTAAATTATTTGAAAAAATGTTTGACAACTTTTATTTTATCGCCCCCTGACTCTCTTTTCAACGTCACTTTTGACAAAAATGTTGAGTAAAATGTAAAAGTAATAAAATTTAGAGCCGATGCTTAATCTAATGTAAATGGTTTTCGAGGTCAGTGCCTTTGGGCCCCTACTGGACAATATGGGCTACTGTAGACCATAGAAAAAGTGAAAATTGTGCAGTTTTTGAGTTATGGTTTGCATTTTACCAATATACTGCCNTGGTTTTCGAGGTCAGTGCCTTTGGGCCCCTACTGGACAATATGGGCTACTGTAGACCATAGAAAAAGTGAAAATTGTGCAGTTTTTGAGTTATGGTTTGCATTTTACCAATATACTGCCCCTACATTAATCAAAAAACTATTTTATGGATGGAGAGATTTATTTTTAACTGAATATTTCTCAACCCAGTCCTCAGGGACCTCCAGCAGTCTATATTTTTGCTCTCTCCCGGCTCCCAACACACCTGAACCAGGTATTCTGTGTTCTTGATTGCTTACTTGTTTGGCTCAGGTGTGTTAGGAGCTGGGAGGGAGCAAAAATGTGGACTGTCTGGTGGATTCTTAATTAAATTTGAGTAGCAGGAATGTGACCTGAATATTATATTATATTATATTATATTATATTATATTATATTATATTATATTATATTATATTATATTTGAAATAATCATAATTATCTCCCATCATGCACACCGCAGACATGTGGGTAACAGTCACACAAGGACTGAATACTGGCAACAAAGGCAACTCAGACTGACAGGGTAAAGAAAATTAAACCAGAGTATGCAAATTGAAGAATAGATGGGAACAACGTCACAAACGAGTGAGTTTTGTGCGGGATGTTAAGGGGTAATGACTGTTCAGTGGTCTTAATTCTGCACTTCCCGATCAACACTCACAGTGTCGCTGTTCACCATCGAGGTGATTTACGTCAATTTTCCCCACCCACTATACTAATATTTAAGTAGAAGCTCCTGGTGTTTCTGAAAAACTGTGAAAGCCATATTAACATTTTTTTTTTACTGTTGTTAAGGATTTTAAAGACGATAAAGCGTTATTGTTTTCTGTTCATAATATCATATTCTGCATTCATTTGGACTGAAAGAGAGAAAGTGATACTTCACACTGGAAATGGGACACAAAGGATTCACGGTAAATGCCTCTATCCATTTGTCGATTTTATTCATATTGACTTTTCATAGCAGCCTTGGAGACATGAGCTATTCTATCCCGGAGGAGATGAGACGTGGTTCTGTCATTGGGAATATAGCTAAGGACCTTGGGCTCGATGTCAAAAGACTATCCGATCGAAAAGCCCGTTTAGATGCCGACAGGACCAGCAGAGGCTTTTGTGACATAAATCTGAGCACCGGTGATTTGATTGTAGCAGAGAGAATAGACAGAGAGGAGCTTTGTGGATCGAGCGTCTCGTGTACTTTAAAATACGAGCTGATACTTGAAATTCCGCTAGAACTGCATCGTATAGTAATACAAATTGAGGACATAAACGACAATTCACCACAATTTACAAATGATCGTACCGAACTAGAGATAACAGAATCGGTTTTAAAAGGCGCCCGTTTTCTCTTGGATGAGGCGCATGACTCAGATATCGGGAAAAATGCAGTTGAAACGTATACTTTGCAGAATAATGATAATTTTGTGTTGATTGTTAGTACAAACGCAGACGGTGGGAAATACGCTGAGTTGGTATTAGAAAAAGAGCTGGATCGTGAACAACAGCAAGAGATTACACTATTACTGACCGCCAGTGACGGTGGGACTCCGCAGAGATCAGGTACAGCAGT